TTTCTTAAAGCAATATTATACTATCTGAGATTTATAACTGAAAAAGGGATCTACCAAAAGAGTCAATACGGGAGAGGGGAAAGGTCGCCGAAACTGACCAACGGCTACATATTGTACATATTTGCACATTTGTTGCATTTTAAAAGGTATATAGCCCCCCACTGTTTTTTATTGAGATTTTCATTTTTCGTGTGTTTTTGGAGGGTTGTACATTCAGTGGGTAGCAGCTACATTTTGAAAAAAAAATTTGGTTTTATTACCAAATACGGGTTTTTAACACACATCACTTTTTTGTACACTATTACAGAGATCTGGAAAGGCCTACAAGGCACAGTATCTTGCAACCACTGTGAAATCTGGCAGGGGATGGGTGATGAATTGGAGGTGCTTCATGAAGTCTGGAATTGGATAGGATCCTCTTTGTGAAGAACACATGAATCAAGCCATATAAGAGGTTATTTTGGAAAACAAATTCCTTCTGCTCCTGATTATATTCCAACTCTTTAGGATTGATTTTTCCTACAGGACAATGCTCCATGCCACACTGCCAGGTCAATAAAGATGTGGACGGGGAACCACCAGATCACGACCCTGTCACAGCCAGCCCAATCTCCAGACTTGAACCCAATTGAAAACCCTGGAATGTGATCAAGAAGATAGATGGTCACAAGCCATTAAAGAAATCTCAGCTGCTTGGATTTTTGAGCCATGAGTGGCATAAAGTCACCCAACACAATAGGTTATTCCATCAAATATTGTTTCCTGAACTCTTCCTTAGTTAAAACATAGTATTGTGTTCTTTAAAAATGACTATGCACTTGTTTCCTCTGCATCAATCGATTTCTGTAAACACTGCATCTTTTTTATGTTTCGCCACTTAGCATTAGTTAGCCTGCTAGGACATTATGGGTTTTCTATCAGTACACTAATTATTACCTTACATTTTATTATGTCTCATATACCTGAAGGTGGTGATGATATGTTACACCCCATACCCCTGCAAGGTTCGGCACCCCTATCCATAGGGTGGACACAGCTAGTTCCACATCTATTGGATCTTGGGCTATACCACAGATTATGGCCAAACTTTGCAGGATAAACATACCTTGTCCAGCTACTGCTAGGAAAGTGGAACTGTATAAACTATTAAGCACTACAACTAATAACACTGGTGCTGGGAAAAAGCCCAGTGGTGGCCAGTTGCCTGAACTCCAGGCCATGATGGCATCAGTCTTGTCCTCCATGGACAGATTAACAATAGACTGGAATGCCTGGAATCTGGTATGGTGTCTTTGTATATCTTTTGACTGGGTCAGAATTTCAGTGAAATTACAACACAGTCAATATGAGTATTTTAAATCTTAATACTCATACTCAGTTTGGTAGGGGGTGCCAGGGCTGCTTTAAAATTCCTTTCCCGGTGTAGGTAATTCCTTTCAGGATTCCTTTTAGGAATTTGGGATGTGTTATTTCTATGCATACATTTTTTATAATTTAGACTACAGACAGAAACCTACTCCTTTATTACTATCAATCACTGTCTTTTTTCATCTTATCTATCTTGTTATTTCAATTTCTCCCTTCCTCTCTCATTGTTTGTCTTTCTGAATTTGTACAAAGCTGTACAAAGATCAAAGGAAAAGGTCTACCCATTTGGCATACATACAAAAAAATGAAATAGTTTTATCAGTCTTTCTTTTGCATATAAAAAGCAAAACACCTCTTCATTCCTATGATAATTGCTGTCTAGTTCTAAATCAAGTCAAACCTTGCACAAACGGTAAAATGATTTCTAATAATCAGATGATGTTGTGCTAGGACTTTGAAATTAGATTTTTTTTGACTATGAACCTGAAATGACTGCTCGGCTCCATCATTATTACAATTAAATGCAGCAAAATTAGAAATATGGTTTATGAAAGTAATATAAAATTGAGTATTTTGTGCTTTACTGATTAATATATCTTACATATTAGATTTTATTAACCATCATGCAGAAAATCAGATTTCTTTTTATCATAATGCCAAATGGTTGCCCTAGTCAGAATATGCTTACCACCATTTTTAGCAAATTTGAAGTTTTGTGCATGCTTTAAAGAAGTGTGTTATTGGGTATGTTACTATCTATTCCCATAAAGATAGTATACATAGCTCTTGGGTTCTGAGTTTAGATATTTATTTGTAAAAAAAATTTCAATTCATTATTTTTGATTTTTAAGTCAGGTTATCATAACAAACAATGAAAACATTTTAGAAGAATGTACACTTCAGGTTCCAGGGGCACAACAGCCCTTTTGAGTGCTTATAGGTAATACAATAGTGAAAACATTTGCCACGGTTTGTATTTTTACAAAGTAGGAGACCTTTAGGTCGCTGTTTCCTCCACCTGTTGTGTGCCCCATCTCGCTTTCTCGTGGTTCTCCCTGGGTATGTGACCTTTGTTACATTGTGTGTCAACACATCTGTGTGTGCTTTCCCTCCCTGGGTGCCCGCCCGCCGCGGGGCTCTTTTTTTCCTGCATGGAGCTCTGGCCGCAGAGGAGGTCCTGGCTATTCTTCACTGGGTTTGCTTATCTGTTCTGGGCCTGTAAGTCGTCTGGTTTGCGGTTTCCATTGGGTGTTTGTCGTATCAGGGTTTCGGTAGTGAGTATTACTTTTCTATTGTATGCCGTCCCATTGGTGTTCTGTATAGGTAGGGGAAGTGAATTTGGGTGTCCTCTTTGGTGGGTATGTGAGGGAGGGGAGGGTTGATAGTTCAGGAGGGTAGGGGAGAGTGGGGATGGGTGGGTTTACAGCCATAGCCTGTTTCCATTACCCCCAGGGTGGGGTAAGGTGGGTTTGGGGTTGGGGATGTGTGTGGGTGCAAGGTCTGCAGAGTGTTTGCTTTAGTTCATGAGTGGCTGATGATCTTGGTGAAGCTGATGCTTACTCATTTGGAGGTAGTTGATTCTCTACCATGGTAGGGTGATGTCACCCTCCTACCATGGGTCCCAGATTTTGTGGAAGTTTTTGAATAAGTTATTGACTTCTGATGTGAGGCTGTCCATGGTTATACCGTCTTGAATTTTTTTGCTACAGTGGTCGGTGTACATACTTCGTGGATCGCTCTGTGGGTTGTGAGGGCAATTCACGCAACACGTTTATATTCCGCTTTCGTTAATGTGTCCAGTGGTTTAGAGAGGAGTAGGGCCCAGGGGTCGAGCGTGCATGGTTTGTTTTTTAAAGATTCATGAGAGCAGTGAGGCAACACTCTCCCACAGCAGTGATAGTTTGGGGCAGGTCCACCAACAGTGGTAGAATGTCCCCTCCTCCCCGCAGATTTTCCAGCATGGGCTGTTGGGTATGCGGCACATCTTGCATGCTTGCTCTTTATGTGTCATGCAAATTGAGATGGATGCGAATGCATCCCAGATTTCTGACCAGGCTTCCTCTGCTGGTCTTAAGTCAGCTTCACAGGCCTCTATGTATGGCAGTGTCATTAGTGAAGGGTGTGTTGCGATTGTGATGAACAAGTCAGATATTTGGCCCTTTCGGGCTGGTGCAACTACGCAACCTCTTTTGAATTCCGTGAGTGGCGCTAGGCCTGCTTGTTGTTTCGTAAGTGTGCTTGCAGAGTTACGTAATTGTATGTAGCGGAAGTAGTCGAAAGTCAATAGGGATGCGTTGTCTGTGATATCAGTAAATTCAATAATTTTGTTATTGAGGCACAAGGTTGTCTAATCGTATGATCTCTCTTGTTTCAGGTTGTAGCATAGGGTCGGAGTCATAGGTGAGAGATAGATGGAGAGGTCGAATTTGTCGTGTATCTTATCCCACAGGTCTAGGGAATGGGTGATTGTGGGCGTTGAGGGGTAGGGGGCACTGCTGTCTTGATAGCCACATGTACAAGGAGGGTGGTCCCATCCAAATGTGGTGTGCTCAATGTCAACCCATCTCTTTGTGTTTAGGGGGAGGTGCCATTGCTGTATTTGTGCAAGATGGGCAGCGTAGAGATAATGTAGGAAGTTGGTGAGACCCAAGTCCTCCAATTTTCTTGGGACATATAGTGTGTCACATCTATTTCTGGGTTTATGACCGTTCCAAATGAAGTTGTTGACTGCGGCTTGCAGTGCCACCAGGTCAGTTTTCCAGAATGAGACGGGAGGGTCTGAAATACATAGAGGAATCGGGAAAGGAGATTCATTTTGACGAAGGCCATGTGTCCCATCCATGATATCCCTAGTGTGTCCCATTTTTTAAGGTCTGCGTGGTGTGCTTGTTGAGTTGGATGTAGTTTTCTTGGTGTATGGATTCTACATTCATGAGCAAGTGGATGTCTAGGTATTCTATGGAGGAGTCACAAATGGTTAGGGGGAATTTGTTGCGGAGGTGGACTAGGGTGTCGTGGTCCAAGTGGATCTGCTGGATTTTGGATTTTGTTAAGTATATTTTATAGCCAGAGATATTAGAGGATGCGCAAATTAGGTTTAGGGGTTCCTGTATGTGGTGGTTGGGTTTGTTAGAGTTAGAAGTATGTTATCCGCATAAGCGTTCAGGGGAGTTTGTACAGTTGGCCCTTGATGGTGACTCCTGCGATTTTGGGGGTGGAACAAATCGCCTCTAGCAATGGCTCTAGGGACAGGGTGAACAGGAGGGGGCATAATGGGCATCCCTGTCTTGTTCCGTTCGTAATTGTGAAACAGAGTGGACGACGATGGACAGTAGGAGAGCTCCCTGTGATGGGTGGTAAGTGGTATTGAGGAATGTTATGAATTCGGTTGGGAAGCCAAAGTGTTTCAGGGTCTGAAAGCTAGTGGTCCCGGGCTCTTATTAGGTTTGAAAGAACCTAACGCTGTTGCTATTTCTTTTACTGTGACTACTGTGTGCTGTTCTGGCCTCCGGGGACAGGGAGGACAGCGCTAGAGTGTCTAGGAATTTCTGGGTAGTGTGTTGTTTAGCTTCTCTTTCTGACTGGGTTGGGTTGGAGTGGTTTTATAGGTCTGTAAAGTAGTTCTGGAATACTTCCTCAACACGTTCAGAGGAGTTTGTGGTGCGCCCTGTAATCATTCGGATCTGTGAAATCTGCTTGCTCTCTATTCTTTGTTTTAGGCATCTTGCCAGCATGGTGTCTGCCTTGTTGTTTTTCTCATAATATTTTTGATTGAGCCACATTAACACTTTCAGGGTGTCGTTAAGAGTTAGGCTTTTAAGGAGTGCTCTAGCTTCTGTTAGTGTGGTTAAGGTGTCTGATAATGGGTTTCTCTTGTGTAGCACTTCGAGGCGGTGTATTTCCGCCATTGTGTCCATGATTTGTTGGGTTCTGCATTTTTTTATGCTGTAACCTGGCTAATTAATTTTCCCAGTATCACTGCCTTGTGGGCTGCTCCGTAGGGTCATTGGGGATGTGTCTGTTTGGGCATTGATTTTGAAATACTCTCTTAGGTCTTTGGTGCTTGTGTCGACCACCTCTGTGTTGTGTACCGTAGGGGGTTCAGTTTCCAGGTCCACTGTCACATAAGGTTGTGGATGGTTGAGGTTAGCATTATGTCTGCGTGGTCTGACCATGCTATTGAGCCAATTTCAGTCTTTGTGACAATATGTTGGGGGGGATTAATAATTGGTCTATCTGTGAGTATGTCTTGTGTCAGTGGGAGTAGAATGTGAAATAGGTGTTAGTATCTAATTTCCCAGTTATTGACACGTATCTCCCTTGCGGATCAGTGGTTGTAGTGATGTCATTAAGAGGGCAAGAGGATTTGAATAGGATTGCTACCCCTTTAGTTTTTGTATCTGGTGAATTGGCGAGATAACTTTGGTTGCAGTATCTGTTTCTGTAGTAGAAGTTTTTGTGGGTGGTAAAGAGTGTTTCTAGGACTAGGAGGACATCCGCGTGGGTTTTGCATGCTGACCTGAGTAAGGTGTGTCGTTTAGTGGCGCGTTTAGTTCATTTACATTCATTCAAACAAATTTGATCTGGACAGACATTGTGAGTGCTGGTGTGAAGGTCTGGGGGAGAATTGGAGAGTTAAGGGGGGTAAGAAAGAGGTAATGGAGGGTGGGTTGGAGGTTGTGGGCTGGGCTACAGGCCCTGGCGGGTCAGGTAAAGAACAGGTAGAGAGGTGGAGGGTATTCTACTGTGCTTATCTGTCTCACCAGTAGGGGGTGAGTAGCTTTGTCCGACAACTCTTATGAAGGTGCAAATCCTACGGGTGTCTGAGTTACACTAAGTGGGCTGCTCCCTTCAGTGACGTCGTCACGCATGTGTTGTAGTTCTGGGTGATTGCCGGTAGTCAGAGTGTAGGCTATTTCCACCTGCGCCCAGAGGCTCTGCATCATCCCCCTCCCACTGAGGGAGAAGAGAGGGTTTAAGGCAGGATCATCTAGGCTCCCGTGGTCCCCTGCATCTGGATTTCCATCTGAAGGGGCAGTCGTGTAGTGGCTAAGAACTTTGTTAGTGTCAGTTGAACGGGATGCGATCAGTGGGTCTTCGGTGTGGGTTGGACTCCCTTGCATAGGGTTGGTGTGGTTGGTCGGCATTAGCTATGGTGACTCCGCTATAGAGGATATTTTATGCGGTTGGGATGAGGGTTGTCGGCTGTCCACCCTCTGGCATTGGAACTTGTCTGCAGAGAGGCTGTTGCTGCTGACATAGAGTGGGTGTACTATAAGCGTGGGGCGTGTTGCATGTTCAAATCAGAGCTCATGTGGTCATACATCTGTACAATTTGTCAATCATACTCATACACCCTGTTGTGGGTGTTTACCATTTCTTGCACTTCCCCATTGTACATATTCAAGTGATTGCATATCACTACGGTGTCACATTCTTATACATTTTGTTTCCTTGGATTGTTGCACATGTGTGTGGACATATCCTATGTCCCGTTCTTTTGTGTTATGTGTACCAGTGTGCGGCTGTGACGCTGTACTATGTCCTAGCCCTACAGGTTGTGCTTGTGTAGGTGGCTACACAGACATGCCATGCTCAGCTCTGATATAGAGCACCAGAAGTCAGACGCCACCCCCCCAGAGCTTAGATATTTAAAGGTTACAGTACACAAAGTACTACACTATTGCAAGTTTCACTTATATTTTACACATAGTTTGGGGAGTGTGACGTTTTAAAAAATATATATTTAACAGATTCTTGTGAGTTGTTGCAGCCAGTATATTCACTAGATAGGCCAATGTCTCACTTTGATCTTTCGTTTTCTATCAATAATGTACTAACCATGACTTGGACCTCATTTCTAGAACTTGTCTAGGTGGAGAAAATTATCTGGGGATACATTTAGAATTTGAGCTGAGTTGATGTAAATAACTGTGTATCTAAACGTGCATAGCGTATGTGTGTATGGCTGATTACATGATGAGTTCTGTTTGTATTTAAATGGTTTTGAATATTAATGATGATAACACACAAACTTTCTAATACCCCCTAATCCTATTCTCATAATTTTACATTAAACATTGTTTCTTATCGGCTATATTAATTATGCAGATGTTTATACATTGTATGTAGGTTTATCTGCATGTTGAAATAGAAATTAAATTTAAAAAACAATAGCTGCCAAAACATGGCTCGATTTGCATTATTGTCTGTAGGCATGGAATTCTTAAGTACACCCCTCCTCCCATCAAAACCTACTCAAAATAAAATAAAATGAAAAAAAAAATTAACAAAAACCTGATTGCGTAAACATGATCCAAAATGTTGTTTATACATAGAAGTGAGAGTAGCATACTATGTGTATGGGTAGTACACTGTTGATCATGTAAATCCATTGCAGACAATAGGTATTCCATTTTTTGTGTAGTGGGGGGTTCTAATTTTTAAATGTATTATGCTCACAATGTATAAAAAAACGTGTGTCAGCTCCTGCTTGGACCATCCATTTAAGATGCCCCAAAGTGTCAAAATCAGCACAGAATGCTACATTCTTAATATAGACATCAGATGGGATATTCTTGCTTTAGAAAAGTCATGGTAGAGGTCAGGAACTTATATGAACCACATTATTCAAAGACAAATTATTCTGTCAACTGTTAAAAAAAAAAAAATCACATGGCAAATATTAAGAAAGAAAAAAAAAACAACTAAACAGAATACGAAACACAGAACAAAGAACACAACAAATGCAAAAGCGTAATCTATTTTTCATTTCAAATAAGGTATTCATTTGTGAATTCTTAAAATTCTAAGTAAAAAACCAAAGCTTAAAAAATTAGATGTTGTGAAGAATAGTATTATAGAATTGGTGAATATAACAAGTTGAAATATATGTAATTTGGAAAGAACTGAACAAGATGTGTTTACTGTCTAAATAATGAATTGTAGTAAACTGAAAAAATGTATTGCAAACTTTAGGTCAAAACAACCAACCTAAAGAATGTTTCTGATATTCACAAAAAAAAAAAAAAAAAAGTTTATAATGTAATGCATATCTATGCTGCAGTGGATGGAGATGCTTCGATGCCTGATGCAGATACAGTACATTTAGATTAACAGTTCCCTAGCTCTCAACCCATTTAACTTAATTCATGGAAGATACAGTGTTGTTTAAAAGGAATCAGTCCTGGAGCTTCCTTCAGGTCAAGGAGTCAGTTAGCCAGTTAGGGAACTTTCTATAGGGTTGGCCTGCAGTAGATTTACTGCTCGTTTGGGCAGTAATCATCATCCCCATATGGAGATGGACAGATGGACCAACCCATGGATGGACAGCTACTTGATATGTGAAATGAAGACAAGAGATTTAACTGCACCTCAGAGTGTGTTTCAGAGAATGGGTGTCAGTTTACTTGGGTTAGTGTGTGTCAATCTTCTTGAGTCAGCATACGTATATCAGTCTGCATGGGTGTTTGTGACAGTCTGGGTGTTTGTGTCAGTTTGCTTGAGTCAGTGTGTGTGTGTTAGCCTGCTTGAATCCATGTGTGTGGCTGTGTCAGAATGCATGTGAAAGTGAATTTGTGTGTGAATGGGTCACTGAATGTGAGTCTGTTCAGGGCCATCTTTAATGTGGGGCAAACAGGGCAGCTGCCACAGGCCCAGTTACTCCTGGGGGGCCCAAGGCAGCTGCCCTGTGGGCCCCGCTACCCTCAACAATTTATTTGGGCCCCACACTCTAAGGGGGCCCACTGGGCAGCCCATGCACTTTGGGCCACTTAGTAGGCTTCAATCAGCAGGGACCGGTCAGGTGCTGTGTATGTATTTGTGTGTGTTAGTAGGTCAGTCAGTTTATGTGTCTGTGTATCTGTAAGTTGTCAATGTGTGTATATGTATGTAGTAGGTGTGTGTATCAGTATGTCTGTCCAAATTTGTGGCTCTTTTCCCACTGTTCCAACTTAGATCCCTGGTGTCCTGCTTTTGGGGCACCAGGGAACTGTCCCTAACATGTATAATGCAAGTGCATCATTAGACTCACTTGCACTATATTCTGGGTATTAGGGCCCTGCAGGAAGCACTAAAACAGAGGGCTGGCCTTAAAAGATAGGAAGGATCACCCCTTTTGGGGCATAGCCAGCATTGTGATCACTTCACTGGAGGAAAGTACCTTTATTATATTATTTGAATGGTGTAAGTCAAATGCACTGGAAATCTGTTATCCCGGCAGCCTAAGAGTTTAGTCATCTCTTCCTATGTCCCTCTCATCTAGATGATTACACAGGTATACAGGGCAGCCAATGGTTAATGTACTGCCTGATACCTGTTTAATCAGAGTCATTATAAAAGTTACCAGCCATTGGTGTATTTAACCCATCAGTAGGTTTCATCAGGAAGATGCTATGGTCCGACTTCAAATCCTAATGCTTCCCTGCCTGTCAGCCTGAAAGGGACCAGAGGAAGTAGGGAAGAGAGTGTGAATCATACAGAACCCCAATATGTCTTCCACCTAGCATTTAGGAATATAACTGAAAACCAGATGCTTCTCCTCTGACACCAGTCCTCAAAGCAGTGGTCTGTTTTGTATGTGAGTTGTGTGTATAAGTCAATGCATTAAATTTATTTAGGAAGACCAGCAATGCATCGTATTCACACAGAATGGTTTCTTTACACATTTATTGCAGTTTACAGGCACATATCTGCTGTGGACCTCTGGTAAATATTCAGACAGAGCAAGTATACTGAGCTCCTAGAAGAAAGACATAGTTACATAGGCTGAAAAGAGTCATGTTCCCATCAAGTTCAGCCTTCTTTACATTCGTTTTTTGCTGTTGAACAGTTTGAAGCACTTCCAATTTTGCAACAAACTAGGAAAAAAATTCCAGCTTGACCCCAGAAGCTATTAATCTATAGTTGAAAGATTATATCACTGAATGCATCTAGTTGCTGTTTAAACATCTGTACTGACTCTGATAAAACCACTTCTTCAGGCAGAGAATTCCACATCTTTATTGTTCTTACTGTAAAAAAAACCTTTCATTTGCCTTAGACTTAATCTTCTTTCTTCCAGTCTAAATGCATGACCTCGTATCATATGTAAAGTCCGGTTTGTGAATAGATTTCCACACAATGGTTTGTATTGGCCCCTGATATATTTGTATAATGTTATCATATCCCCTCTGAGGCAACATTTTTCTAAACTAAATAGTTTTAAATTTGTTAACCTTTCTTCATAGCTAAAATGTTCCATACTTTTTATTCATTTTGTGCCAGCCTCTGCACTTTTTCTAGTGCCATAAATATCCTTAAGATAGGGACAGATGGATTTGGACCCTGTCAGTACATTTCTCTTATACACTCAGAAACACCAACAATGTGGAGCTCAAAGAACAGAGAGACATTAGGATAGAAAAGGACAGTGAGGTCTGGGCCCAAATATGGACTGCCCCTATTAAACAGAGACATTTGAGAGTGTAAATTAGTGTGAGTTTGTGTAATTTAATGTGTGTGTGTAATTTAGTTTGTGTGTAACCATTTACATATGGGTATGTGGCTAATTGTGTGTTTGAGAGACATCTTTAAAAGTGTGGGTGTAATAAAGTGTGTGGCGATAGAAGAAAGACTTGGTCTTCGGCAGTTAAAAAAAACAAAAAGCATCACTGACTGCACATAAAACTATTATACATCTAAATTAAAACAATGTGCAATAAAATGGTTGTCACTTTAACCAGGGGCGGGCTGGGCCGGGGGGCAGGGAGGCAATTGCCCCCCAGGCCGCCCTACATGCATAGGCACAACAGAAGAGACAAGAAAACCAGTATAAGGAAAACAATCACACACACAATATGCTATTCATTTAGCACAGTAACAGTAACAATGTTTGTTTTTCTATGTACATTAGTTAATACAAAGAGATGTATTTGGACATGAATAAGCATTATATGTAATGCAATAGATACTGAGTTCAAGGAAATAGCAGTTAAATGGAGCTGGGTTTATCATAGCTAAACAAGCTGTAAATAGCTGTTATTCCTTGTCACGCACACAATTTATTTAAAGGTAAAAAAATGATATATATTTTTTTTAATTCATTGCAGCAAAAACAGAGAATATTAGATATCTGAGATTAGACAAAAGCTTAGAGAAACTCAACAGC